CTAAAAAATCAAACCTCTACCTTATATAAATATTGTGTATATGCCACAATTGGTCACTGAGACGACCAGTACCTGCGACACCTGCGAAAACAGAAAATACTTAAGTGTCAATAGTGTAGTGGTATCAACACTGTTGGCATACTGATGCACAAAGGGTCAATGGAATTAATTGTGTACCTGGAGTAATTGGTGTCTTCCTTCATACTGACAAAATAGTACTTATTAAAGGAAAAATGATTTGCAGCTGGAGAAAAGCAAACCATGGTTGAATACTGGGACTGTACGACACAAATCTTCAAAAAGGGTGAGTAGAACGTATTCCAGACAGAAGTACCGCTGTTTTAATACCAATAATACATTGACTAGTACTTCTAGACACTACCAGTCATGCAGATGTGTGGAGAGGTTATCCGCAAGTGTGATGATTAATTATCAACATAAGGCTTTATCCATCATCAAGCCAATCATTCTTCTGAACTGGAGAATTCTATAAGTGGAACTCATACAAATTCCATTAAATAATCTGGGACCATCAGAACTGTAAGTCTGTCTCGAAATGATATAATACACAGTTATTTAGATGAATTTTTGTATTGACAATGGTTTGATATGTCTACAGACACTTCTGTGAGAAACTAGGGCCGATTTTTCCAGCATATCAGAAGTATGTACCCTGTATTATTCATTTCTGTTGCATATATATCCTGTAAATACACCTTTTTAATACAATTTAATGACAATTTTCACCTACAACTGTCTAACTGGTTGGTTCAAGGTCATTCGAATTTTGGGTGTCTATTCTTTAATATAAGAATAAAACTTGTGCACTGTGGTAGAGTGTAATTCCATTATGGGTAAATTTTGTTTGATAAAGTCTCACAGCGTTATACAGTAATATTTACTGATGACGTTTCGAGCACAATTTATTGCTCATAATCATATCAAGGTAATCACACAACTTCCTAAATTCATTTATATAGTTCCATTGTTTTTCTCTTGATTTTCACTTGATTTGATTAGTAATAGTATTTTCCATATTTCAGGTATGAGTGACGAGTCATTTCTATTGCATGTGTTGGGTGTAGACTCTATTCTTTACTTTTGCCGAATTCTCTATTAAAACTTCAAATCTGAAATTAGCATATGTTCCACACATGTCATCAAATAAGAACATCGCAAATATGTTAATCACACTTTTCGGTTGGCCTTGGAACAGCCCAGATGCTGTTTAAATGAACCAGACTTACACTGATTATTGTCGCCCTATTTTTTATTTATTGATCTGAACAACCATAATCAGATAGAATAATTAATTTTAATGATTTCCTTTTCAAACCATTCAGGCATAATTATTTAAAAACAAAAAAAATATTGTTCAAGCCTCAGACGAGATATCTCCTTCATAAAAGACGTTTTTCAGTTTCCAAATCAGTAGTAGTGTCGAAAGCTTATAACTAGATGGTGTAACTATTAATGCATGTTATCGATCAAATCCACAGACCATAACAATAGTTTGCTTATTCACCTGTCTTAACTAGCTTGTTAAACCTGATTGCGGAGAATAAACATACAACCCCTTGCGTGTGTGTGTGTTTGTTTGTCTCACGTGCCACAAACATACAGATTTTCATTCTAGAAACGGCTAGACCATTTCAAGGTTATAGAAATATTCCCTAAATTCTTATTGGTTAACTGACGAAAACAAAGGTTTCTCTCATCCACACAAACAAACAACTTATGGGCATCTGATTATTGTGACATAGTTTATGCATAAGTTTTAGAGAGTAGGACGGCTAGGATAAACACCGTAGATTTTGGCTGAATCTTATAAGAAATCATGTGAACAGATTGCCTTCAGCGCGAAAATCAATGATTATTCCGAGAAAATAAGAAAAGTAACAGGGAGCTGTCTAGACTAAGTTATAGGGCATAGGCACATGTGGGTGCGAAGTTGTCTGAGATATTTGATGGATGCTGACCAGAAGTAGAGTGTAGGATGCTCATTTTGTCCTGTCAGTTGGGGGCTCGTCAGTGGGATGTACCTGCATTCCCCGTGGAGTGTTGATATACTCAGGCATCGGTTCAAACGCCAAAGCATGCTGGGTGGATACTATCACTCAGTGTAGATCTGACTAACGAGTCTCAAACAGGAGGAAATGGGCATCCTGGATTCCACTGCTGATCACCACCTACCAAAAAATATCATTCTGGTTCTTAGATATCGTCACCTAAACAAGTTGACTTTGGATTCGGTATTAGTGGAGTTTGTGTATGAGGAGATTTGAGGGAATAAAATATTAACTGAGAAGATATCATAAATAGTTGAGAGTTACTTGTGAGGTGGTTATATTCTATGAGCTCGGTTGTTTAGTTGTATAATTGTTGATGTGTGTGATAAGCAATGATGGCGTGCCTACAATATAACTGAATTTTGTAGTTGGTGACTGTGCGCATTCTAACTCTACGGTCATTAACGCATAACAGAAAGAGTAGGTAGTTGATTCAGAAACTCGAGTTTCTACCGCCTTGACAATGGGTTGAAGCAGTGCTCACATCCACATGTTGCGATTAGTTGTCATACTACAGGTGCGGCTCACTGTATAAGAAATGGTTTTCGAGTGTGATATGTAGTCACATGATGTGTGTTTTGTTTTTGACAGTCTGTTATATTTTGCTATGTGTATATGGATCGATATTCCAGTACAACTGAAAATATGCTTTTGTCTGTCTATTAACTAAATAAACAATGTATGACCTTTTTATCACATAACATTACAACCAATTAGAATCCAATGATGGTTAGGTAAACTACTATCTGTCTTATTAGTTCATGTATATTAGTCATTTTCGTATATGCTTTTGTATTGTACACCTTTACACACTGGTTCACACATTTCGTACACTACGTACCCTTTCACTGACACACTTGTGTGACAGTCACTTTTTTCTGGTTTGGAAAATGTCATCGTATCATCGTGAACGTGGTGGTCTTCTGATTTTCCTCTTTCCGCGTCAGGACTATTAACCACTCGACGAGCACATAACAGAGTGTGTTAGTTTTAATAACCTGTGAAAAATTCAAGTTTTCCCTATTGCAGTATCGCAGAATGATTCACTCATGCCTAAAAATACTTTTTCCTCCGACTGTCGATGGCAGGTTACTACCTTTCCAGTTATTTGAGCACTTTGAAGTTGGATATGTTTGAAAATTGAATGCATACATGGTTTTGTAGAGAACTCAAAATATCAGTAACATAACTCTTAAAAGAGTAAATATTCTCTGAAACTAGAAAAGGGAAACATTTATTTCCCGATGCGAATTTAAAACAAACAACAAAGGTCAATAAAGCAGAATTTAACGAATTCATCAAATTTCGTAAAACTCTTCAGCTGAATACTCTACATACAGCGATATATATATATATATATATATATATATATATATATATATATATATGATAGCGTTATTAGAAGACAGAGATTATCTGAAAAATGTGATGTATTTGCGCTATACATTTCGAACAATCTGATCACACATTTGCTTGTCAAGTCAACATATATGGGTAAGTTAAATTAAACAAAGTGACAAAAAAGAATTAAGAATAATTAACGCAAAGTTTTGTAATCCAATCAAATAAGGACTACCAATTGGCTTATCGATTTATTGACAAAACACGAAAGATAAGCAGTTCAAACTGGTCACTGACTCAGTTCCAAAGATAACCTTATTCATGAATTTGGAATTCAAAGGTGATCAGGCTTCAGATATGCTCAGAAACCGTCCCTCTTAGTCATTCAGTAAGAAATTCTATGCTGTACATTTACAAATGACATTCACTAGTCGAAAGTTGTTCTCCATCTCTGTAAAAGATAAGCTCTCTCCTTCGACGTCTTCCGTGTGCATCTATCAATTCACCTGCTCTTATGGAGCAAAGGTACATTGACCATAGTCATAAAACGCCTTTCGTACAGATACAGTGACATATTGCAGCACTGAACGGTGCGAGAAACTCTCTCCTAGAACACTTGATTCACTCCTTTCCCTCCACATGATTTTGAGATCGGCCATCATCTACCAAAATCCATGGTAACTTCCTGGCAGCGTTTTCTTCATTATAGACTTCTAAAGATAGCGGAGGCCTTGGCCATTCATGAATTTAAGCCAAACAGACATTTGTTTACAAAAGAATTATGTACAATCCCTCTCTTTCCAACATCTATACACCTTATGCGCTATTCTATATATGACATTAATTGTCTTGCTGCTTGACATTTAACTATGATTATAATCACAAATATTTTAATTGCATTTCATACTACTATCGTTATTTCACGTGTTCACACTTTCGATCTAGTTCCCTTACCGGATATAATTTCTTAAAAATCACATATACATGATTGCACAGCTTGATAATAAATTCGTTGTTGGAGAGAGTCTCTTCGATGAATATGGTGTTCTTAAGTGAGACCGCCTAATGAATGACAGCAGTCCAGAAAGCGTTTGAACCCTACATAAATAATTATCACTAAACCACCGGCTTTTCCGTTTCAACAGTTAACCACATCATCTTTGAACATGAGAACTGATTATTACTTCTAACCTATAGGAGAAATGAGTATCAATAAGGTATATGAATTCATGCAAAATCGCAGGTAGGTGTTCAACACAAAATTTGACTACATTGAAATAAATTATCTCCGTATAACAGAATTGTAAACCTGAATATGTTACTGATTTTCAGTGTAGTACTATGATATCAAGTGGACGACTAGTTTTTAAGGAGTCATGCGAAATGCTTGACAGTCAGGCCCTTAGATTTAAATAAATGTTCGCTTTCACCTATTCCATAGTTACGCAAACAATGAAATGTCGCGAAAACTAAGTTTATCTAGGTAGACAGATAATTTTGCTCGTGATGAGTGAAATGAACTATCAAATGTGGTTCACTGTCAAGGTAATAAATAATGAATAATCTAGAGTAGCTTAGATATTAGAACAACAGCCATTATTTTCACGTGTACATATAATCTGTGACCAATCGTTGAAACGAAATTCAATTCTCATCATGTGACCAGTCATCAGACAACCAATAGAATACCAGTGAATTTCAGCCAATAAAATTTCAGATTAAATTTCATTTCTATTGGAAAATATGTTAGCGATGTGATTGACTGGACTACCTGAAGCTATATAAACAAGATAAATCAAGCCTAACTCATGGATATTTCTCCGACCTTATACTCCGTTGCTAAATTATCCTGGAACTTCTGGCTGGTATGTCAGGACAGCAGAAGCATCAAATAGTTAGCATTCCCGTCAATCGTGAACCAAGATCATTCGAAAAACAAAGACGTGATCTGTTAACAGGCTTAGAACGTGGAGGTAGTGGGAGTAGTCATTCTGGGAATTCTATCACGCCATATCATGATGACTGGACCGGTACAGTAGACCATTGGGTCAACTCAGCATGGAGAAGATGGGATGAAGATATGCGTCGATTGAGGAGAGGGATGTTTGCATTATTGGTGAGTCTAGTTATTCATAGTTTTGTTTTTCATAATTATTGACTGTCGATTAAGAATTAGAGTGTTCCTTGGGGATGTCTCCATTTTAAAGTTTGCTCCACGCTTACTAGAGTTGACTAGAATTGTTTTTGCAAAATGATACGTATTAACTAGTTAGTTAATAAGATGCAATGATTTTGTATTTCAGCCAGTGGATCATTTTCCTCTATCAACTCATGATCCATTCGCTTTAATGCATCAAATGGAGCATCATATCCAGGATATTCGAGACAGAATGGGTACACTGGATGTTCCGTCTACTGCTTCAGCTAGCGATTTCTTGAAGGATGCCTATGAAGTTGGTGAAGATGGGAAGGTGAGTTGATGTTACTGTGACGCCCATATTGTGTTTTCGTGGGCGTTTGTTTGTCAGTTGGGTTGTGAATTAATGCGTGCTGTTTATTCCTGTTTAGGTACATTTTAAGGTGAGATTTGATGCAAAGGGCTTCGATCCAGAAGACATCAATGTAACATCGAGTGACAATCGTCTGACAGTGCATGCAAAGAAGGAGACGGTGAAAGATGGTGGAAAGAGCATTCGTGAGTTCTGTCGTATGGTTGAGCTTCCACGAAGCATTGACAACAATCATTTGAAATGTCGTCTCACAGATGTAAGTATTCCTTTTTCTAGTTGTGTCGTTTTGCTGATATAGAGGATATAGCATTGTATTGAAATATATGTCACTGACAACTGATGGTTTTGTGACGTGTGATGTTTGTTTCAGGATGGTGTTCTGATGTTGGAAGCACCTGTGAAGGTTCCTGAATATCAGTCACTAACACTGAATGAGTCTGGTCAGGTGGGTGTTCGCCCGAAGTCAGATAGTCAGCTGCAAGCAGTTCCTTCTTCGAAGGCTCTTGTCGTGAAAGGTAAGACTTGTGATAGGATTTAAATGTATGAAGAGGTAGTCAGATAATGATATCGTGTCACTTGAATTATTTGTCTAAAATGACGTTTTAATCTGGATTTTTATGCATACTCAGGTACTCATGGCCCAACGGTTTTGGATGATGGATCTGGTGGAAAGCTCCTGCACGTAGAAGTTCCAGTGGATCCTGTCTACAAGCCTGAGGATTTATGTGTGAATGTGGATTCGGGTCGTGTTGTGGTAAGTGGACGCCATCATAAGGAGAAGCATAGTGCTCGTGGAGGGGCGAGTTCATTGCTGAGTTCAGCCAGTCATATGCAATTCCTGAGACGGTGGATCCACTATCTGTGACTTCTCAGTTAGTTGGGAACACATTGGTTTTGGAAGCTCCATTGATGAAACACAATGCAATCACTCATTAAAAGAAGAGTATGAATTGGTTTAAAACGACTCTAATGTGATTCACTCACTCTTGTGTGTATTAATGTAACTCCAATACATATTCCTCACTAACCAATCTGACTTTTCTCTGTTGTTGTGATTGACGAATTTACTTAACGGAACACTTGCATTTCAATAGAGTTGGTAGTGTAGTGTGTTGTATCAATTGTATGTGGATTGATGATATTAAATTCCTACGCTGAACTCGATAGATGAAGTGATTTCGAACAGTTTCGAAGTTGAGGGCTTTCACTGACAGTTAGCCACAATTCCGTTCTTGTTTGTTGTTGACGTTCATGTGATGGCTGTTATACTCGGGTATTCATGTTTGACAATATGTAGATAAGTCACACTCTAATGGTTTCCTCTTAGTTGTAGTGTTGTGTAATATCTTTCATTTCATAAGTAATGGGACGTGTATACGATTCGTCGACTGTGTATCGGTCTAGTCTCGTTACAGTCAATGATTGTACTTACCCTTTGACGTATGGTTGTTTAGTCTCTTCTGTCTGTCTCTCTGGATTCAACATAGAACTTGGCACCGAAGTGCTACAGTTCGCGTTTCCACGTTCCCAATAGCACACATAGGTAGACAAGAAGATTAGTGGAGAGAAATAATAGAGTTTGACAAGTATAAGAGTGAAAGAGATTGGGTAATTTTGAAAAGGAATATGAAAGATTAGAGAGACTGAATACATCTGCACCGTTGACGACGATTTTGAGCCATGTCACCTATTGTCTCCAGCCATTGATTCCTAGAGTCCCGAGGGCCCCAACCCTGTTACCGAGTAATGGTTGTGTGTTGGATTCAGGTGACTGATGTAATTGAAACAGGTATTCGGACTTCGTTTTTAAAGATCAGAAACTCTGTGGTTGGTAATCGCATAATGGAATTAATGGTTTGGAATTTGACGAGGTAAGAATTCTTATTCAGTGAGAAGCAGAGTAGTCGAGTGTCCACATGACAAATTTGAAGCATATGAGACAAAAAACACTTAGTAAATGTACAAAAGGAGCATACAAGAGTGATAATTTTGAATTAATCACTAAATATAGGAGCGGTGAGTCGAATCTGGGTGTTCGAGACCACTGTTGAATATAAGTGACGCAACAAACCTTGAATGTACACAGAGTTGAAGATTGTATTGACAAAATGCTATCGCCTCTGACATACACGAATGTCAAAACCTAACACATTTTGTAATATTCGGTCTCATTGTGTAGATGATTTAAAGAGATGACTGATGGAGCTGCGTGGTCTGAGTTCACTAGTTGTTCGAGAATCGAGCTAGTAATTGACTCGCATCATCATCTTGACAAGCATGCGGGATAAGTGTTCAGATATGTGTGTAGTTTGGCCAATATTACTAGTTACAAAGGAGAAAGTGAACTTATAAACACACATTAATGTTACCGAAAACAGCAGCATGTCCTTCCCATATCCATTATTTATTTAGCAGCTGTAGAAATTGATCTGTAGCTCAGACGAAAGGAAAGCTTCTCTGAGCAATCTTGATACGCGGTTCTTCAGAATCTCAGCTGAGGTATCACACTTATATCTAACACCTTGATAGTGCAACTTAGTTGGCGTCATTTTGATTCTTTCAGGCTTTTACTTTAACTCCCATGTTTCTCTTCGTGAACTCCGTATGTCATCTGTCTGAGTCTCTCCATTTCATCATCTGTTATATCAAAGGAATAAATCCTTCCTATTCTTGAAGATAGAGAAACAACGGCTAGTTTTGTCTTTCTTTTCAGACGGATTCAACTAGGAAAATTCGCGTATTTTACATTTCTTTGTTGATTGTTGTTGTAGACTGATCTCTGAAGAGAACCGCGATATCTCGTTATTAATAAAACTTTCAAAAAATGGGATTCACAGTTCAACTCTGATTCCACCGTGAACTTGATAGAATAGTAGCAATTGTAAGAACTCCTTCGTTATCATTTCGATATCAGCACTCTTGTCAGATAGGAAAAGAGGTAATACCTTGCGTTTTAGTATATTAATAAGCCTTTACTTAATTTAAAAATATCTTAAGTATTTTTGTTCCGATCAAGTGCATTTAATTGAGAGATTTACCAAGTTCGGACGATTATATCTTCACTTTATTGGACATTGTTTATGAGAGTATTTTTTTATATGGAAATGGAAATACTCTTAATAAACACATCACCTAGTTATAACATGACAATCTTACAATAGAAATGTTAATGAGTCATTAAAAATTATTGATTATTTATCGATCGACTACGTGGTGATGTATATAACTCGTCTAGGCTATACACAAATCAAACAGTTTTTATGCTAATATTCATATGATAGGCATTTTGTAGGTATTTCGATTAATTTCTGTATGGGTTTCGTTAGGAAGGAATATCAGTTAGATGATTATTGAAAACCAGGATCCACTGAACAGTTGTTTCGTCCTCGTTTATCTCCATACAATCGAGTAAATTACACAGGTAACTATGGGAATCACTCATTGTTAGCTTAAATTAATTCTCATAAAAAAATAACAGTGAAATGATGTACAGCCATACTATTTAAGCTATAATCTCTGAGGTGATATCTTGAAAGTGTACTTCAGCAACTGTACTTAACTAGAACGGTTTTAGTTTTCATTCGTCATACATGATACATGTATGTCTACTGAGTGTACAATAAAGTACCGAAATTATATTATTATTGTTCCTTTGGGTTGCAAGTGGAACATAGGGCTTCAACAACACATCTCCACTTGCTTCTATTTTCTGCCATCCTCTTCAGCTGGTTCCACGACTGACCACAATCTCTCATCTCTTCCTCACACGATCTCCTCCTTGTCATGCTCACATTAACGGCCCACTCGCTGCTTTCCATTGGGATTCCACTCAAGTGATTGTCTACATTGCTCGCGATTTCATTCGATGGTTTCCTCAATGTGTGCCAGATCAATCTCCATTTTAGCCTTGATATTTATTGGACAATTGCCTCTTGGTTTGTTCCCAGCTAGAGTTTCTTGTTACTAATTCTTTCCGGGCAGCTGGCCATTTGTTCTTCAGTATGGAGGCAGCCAGAGAAGGAGGCAGCTGTTGATAAAATTCTGCAGCCACCTGTTGGAAATCCTCTTCGTTACACGCAGTGCAAGTTTATGACCCGAATAGAAAAGCTGATTGATTGACTTCACATTTGTATTGAAAATGTGAATCTTGCTTTTTTTTGTCGAGCGTACTGCTGTCTTCTCACTCCCATGGACAGTGTGACGCAAAATCCAGTCCACCACAATTGAGAATCTCATCGGTGATTATAGACAGGCAGCTAGCTTGTCTTACTCCTGTATGTACTTCAACAGAACGCCTCACTGAGTTCTCCGTTGTGGATCACCACCACCTAACACGTGCCATTGTCTTATATCCATCTGTTGAATGAAGTTGACAAAGACTTATGGTATGCCTCAGTGTTGAAGTAGTTTCCAAATTACGTCTTGGTCAACACTGTCTGATGAAGGCCTTTTAAAAGTCGATGAAGGAAGTTGAGGTAGAGAGAGGTTTGACTGTTATTCTATGCTTTGCTCTGTGATGACGATGCGTACAGTTGCAATTTGATCAGCACACGATTTGTCTTTCCTATATCCAGCTTGTTCTGGTTGGTGAGGCGGAGTTCTGTGTATCCAATGCATCCTTTATTCCCTCCAGGATGATGCGACTTACTTGGCATATGTGGAAAAGAGCATGATTCCTCTCCAGTCCCTGTACAGGACTAAGTTGCCCTTTCTTGGCAGTTTGACGTGGTAGTCTTTCTTCCAGTCGATAGGTACCTTTCTTTATTTACAAAGCTTTTGAATTAATGGAGTGAGCATATCTGCCGTAATTTCTGGGTCCGTTACCAATGCTTTGGGGTGCGGGGATTCTGTCATGTCCTGCTGCCTCCACAGCCTTCAGTAGCTTGACCGCGCTTAGACTAATTCCAATAAACTATTTTAAACTCAGATAAATGTACACGATGCTACATAAAACTGACTGATTGACCTGAGTAGTTAGGTACCACGTATGTCAAAAAATGTGAACTAGCAACGCTTGTTAACTAGGTCGAAGTGATCTAAACACCTAATGGTGGCCATTTCTCTAGTTTAGGGCCGATCTCGTAGCCATATACACGATGTGACTCAGCTCACGGAATCGAATCCAATCAATTCATACCACCCGAATTCTGGTGAAACGTTAAATCACAGTCTGAAATTCACAATTTACACAATTCCAAGTGGAATTTCATTGCACTTCCTTTAGAATGTCAAATTACTAAGATCACAATTTCTGATCTCTTTGATAACATAACATGATAACGTCCTTCAAACAACGACATACATCATTTCTGTTTGAGGTTGTGTGATAATGTATAATTTTCTTAATTAGGGTAATTTTGACACTTGGATTAATTTCGGTGAAGATGTTATCACCGACAAATATTAGTCAAAGAATGACCGAAAGTTAAAAAGTACTCTGACTGTGTAGGGTTTAATCGCATTGAGTGTGTAGTGGGTACACTGATGAAGAGTCTCGAAAGAGTACAAAACAACCTTCGAGTACTCCGTGATTTCCTATACTTCTCTGATTGATTTTAATACCTGATCGAATTTGAATCAAATCATGTAGATAGAATCTTTCAATTTGTCTACCTTCATTTCTTCTCAACAATATATTTTCATTTTATCATTAGCAAAACGAAACCTCTCTTATAGCTGGTCAGTAACAGTGAACTAAGAGATCTCCAGCAGTTTAGGAAGACAAATATGAGACAAATTAACCAATGAAATTTCCCACTCTCACTCTATTTCTAATTCTACTGTTTCGCCTACTATCTTCGATTCCTTTGTTGGGCTTGTAACAATAGGATTGTACGCTTTTTTGTTAAATGTTAAAAATAGAAACATTGTACACAACTTTTGTTTAAAACGGTTTACATATAAGGGTAGGACAGAGTAAAAATTCTAAAAAGTAATTATTATTTTTTAAATTTTATTTTCTTTGATTACAGCTTGATTCCACCCCGCATTTTTGGTAAAAGTATGGAATTTTCAACATGGATATCGGTAGCACAAATTTTGCAGGCCGACCATAGATATCAGGTGTGAGTCGGCAGGGGATCGAACCTCGGACCATATGCATGGTCGGCGAGAGTCCTAATCACTGTGCCACAGACGCACAGTAGGTAGGTTGAGAGAGAGATTGATTACTGAAGCCTACCTGCTTCATCGAGTCTACAACCAACACATTCAATAGAAGTGACGCATCATCACTAATACCAGAGATATAGAAGACATTATCACA